TAATAAGATGAATACAATTTTAAGATTATCTGAAAAGTGTCTGATATACATATACTGAAACCTAAAGCTACATACAGGCGAATCTATTGTGTAGAAAATTGAGTTTATTTGGAAATTACAAGTTAATATTATTATTAGCATCACCTTCTAATAATTAAACAAAAATGATGTTGTACATATTGCAACTATCTTGCTCATTGTGACACTATTTTTATATATTACCCCATTTTTATGTAGGACCCCTTATTTCTCATAGTAACAAAGAGGTCATTGATTAGCTTACTTTTTTATTCTATGCCATCAAAATGAAGAGACTAATCTTTACACTACCTTTTTCTTTGCCTCAAAGAAATTGGAAAAAAAAACCCAATTATTATCAATTACGTTTTATTAGGATTATTATGATAAAAACACTTTTTCAAGTTAAAGACATTGCATTCAACAGCAATGGCAAGAAGAAAGCTGGAAACACTCAATTATATATTAAGCAGCCATCAATAATTTCATAATATGCAAAAGGGACAGTCTGAGGCTTGTCTTCTCAATCAGCCTTGCTCAAATTTTTGATTTTGTTATTTCTTAGTCAAATAGACACAGAATCAAGAGCTGCAGGTATATTTAGTCAATCACCATCCAGAGAAGGAATACAGCTGATCTCTGCTTTTGCACAAGACTTGTTTCTTCCCAGCAGCCCACAGTCAAATATACCACTAATCCTGGGGAAACCTCAGTTCCCATAATCTAATGAAAAATTATCACCTACCCATTCAGTCTTAATAAGTGTCATGGTCTCCCACCTTTTGTTGTCACTTCAGCTGTATTTATTCTGAAGTAAATTAATCAAGAGCTCACAAGCAAGAAACAAGAAGTTGCTAAATACTTCATTAGTTAATCTGTAAGAGATACATAGTGAATGAAGAGCTCCATAGATAGAGTGTAAAATGTACACTCTATCCATATGCCAGAATAAGTAAGAAGTATATATGCTTACTATTTATCAAGCAAAGACAACAGAAAGTAATCTTTATTATTTTCTCTTTTGATCTGAACATAGCAGGTTTTAGACAGACATAAAATTATTTGTTCTCATTGGGTTTTGTTCTTTTATGTTTAGCTGTATTGATTTTTTTTCTAAATCTTGCTTTGCTATGAATAAAATTTTGAAGTTTATCATGAAAGAAATACAAATTAAGGGTCTTTTCTGTTTTTTGGGGTTTTTTTTCTTGTTATACCTTTTTCCCCCAGTTATGATAAGAGTTAGCAATCTCCTTCAGAATCCACAGATTCAAATGATAAAGGCCAGGGATTAAGCACAGCCGATTAACAGTCTGTGTCCTCTTCAATCTAGCATTTCCACTGTAGATAAACCCATATTCAGACTGAAGTTATAATAAACACACTGTCCTCAATATCATCTCCCTAGATGACCTCCTCAAAACTGACATTCAAGTATTCTTGTGGAAAATTACAGTTCATAGTAACTGAAAAAGCAGCCTAGACAATATACACCCACAAAAATAATACTGCAGATCAAGCCAAATGTTTAGAAAGAAACTGGATAAAATGATAGTTTTACTATAAATATTTTATTTGCTTCAGTTCTGAGTAATTTATTATTACTATAGGTTTGACATATAAAATAATTTTCTTAGATTTTATTGTTATTGCTTGTATTGTGTGTCTTTAAAATAACTGCAATATTATTTATACCTATGACCAAAAATAAAAAATCTCAATGGATCACAGTGGTTGCAATTTTTTTTTCCCTTCCAAAGGCAAAAGAAAACAGTGAAAATCTCCAGCTACCTTAGATACTCTGAAATAGAAGGAATGGACACTGTAAGGAAATTCTGATAGGATTCTCCAGCTACCTGACATTTGAAATCCAGCATCTTCTGAGTGTAAAGAAAAGCTAGGATTAACACAGACACAGACTATGTAACACGTTATTTTAATTTCTTAACCTCAAAGCTCAAAGTATTTAAGGATATGTTATTTAATTTCCTGGTACTTCTTCAGACAAAAGCAGTAACATTTCAAACTCTTTTATTATAACTAACTAAACTTACATACCTAGTTGAAGTGACTGTATTCTACTATTATTCCCATTATTTTATTTTGGAAGGATTCCAGTAAAGCAATCCTGAAATAAAATGGAGAGATACACATCTCTCCATGTGCATTTAATAGGCAACCCTTTATTGAAAGTACATGACCAAAATTTGGTTCTCTTTGGCCAAACCACAAAAATAGTAAGAAACAGGTAATGTTAGATACTGAAAAAGAACTGCAACAAAACAAAACAATGAAAAAAATCCCCAAATCTGAGCTTCATTTTGATTAGTTATTCACTAGAATTGCTTTGAAGTAAGCACTGCAAATGACTGCAGTTAATTCATTAGTTGTTGGTCCATTCTTTTCTCCAAAGTTAAAAAAAAATAAAAAAGAAAAAAAAAATTCAAAGTTTCATAATCAGAGCATTTATTCAGTTTGGATAATTCCAGCCAGCTTTTCTTCTAGAAAACAGTTTCAAAGCTCTTTTAAATCAATCTATACTGAAGAAAGAATTGAAAATGTGAATTTAATTCAAAGTCACTCACTTTGAAATCTTGCTTCAAAAACTAATTTCATGGTCTGTTTCCATAACAACGTAGATTATTTTTGCCAAGTAGGACTCATATAATGAAGCATAACATCTTTAATCACATTGTATCCACTACTATTTAGGACTGTTTAAAGTGATTTGGAGACACACTAACTTAGAGCATCTGATTTGTAGGTCAGTTCCCATTAAGAATCTTTATTATCAGAAGATCACATATATTTCTCATCAAAAAAGCCTCTGAGATTTATTAATTAGTGATAAAATATACATCATACAATTAAAACATTGTGTACTTAATTTATTCATTCCTAAGCTCCTTGTTTCCCAATGGAGTCTTTTGAAAATGTTTTTCATACTGTAGAGGAGCAACCTTACCTTCAGCTCATCCCTAACACAAACCTTGTCTTCTCATTATTCAGCTACATATTTTTATGCATGTGTTTATATTTTCAACAGGAGATATAAAAGCAACTCGATACCATTTACATGCTTTTTAAAGAAAATCTAAAATCAGGAAGACCAAACCATGCTTTTTTGCAAAAGCAAGTTGACAAAATGGTCTACAAAATGTGAAATTAAATTTATCATTCCTTTCTACTTTAAATCTAACAGAAAATGTCATTAGCTATTATAGGAAGATGAGTGTTATAGGTTGCTAGTCGTTCAGCCCACAATATTTTACTGTTTTTCATTTGATATTAAATATTCTTTTCCTAGATATTCCCATGTCTAATTTCTTGTATCCCTTAATTAATAAATTAAGCTTCTTATTATTAGTTTGGAGGAATATATTATTTATTAAGACTGGATTCTAAAATAAGACCGAGTTAGCAGAGCTGATGTTCCTTCAGTGAGAACAAATAAAATCTTAACCCAGAATGCTTTCTCAGGGCAAGCTTACCCCAATGACTAATTAAAAGATGAAGGCTAAAATCCAGAACATAAACAAATTTGGGAAAAACATTATCTATGTCATTATCCAAGGAATAAGAAGGAGTCCAACGAGCCTGGAAGAGGGAAAGAACTGAGCTGTGAAGACCTGCTCCTTTGTCTACACACAGGGGCACACTCACACACATGCACACACACTCGTGCACACAGAGCCCCCATAAACACAGCTTTCCTTTCACAGCACTTTTCTTTTAAGCACCTTGGTAGTATTTACATTTGCAAAGCTCCCAGTATTCCCAAACTTTACCCCTTTAGCTTTCAAGTTTTTGCTTCAGCTTTTTTTTCAACAGGAAAAGAAGGTGGTATGTTTATTGCTGGCAGACAGCTTGGAAATTCTGAGTAAAGAAGCCAATCAAGGCAGAAGGATTATAAAAATCAAAGTAGAAAATTTGCATATTTAGAGTATGGTTACTGAGAAATAACAATGCCTTGGTTGTGTAAATCAAACCCTCAGCAAAAGTGAAGGGATTTGCATATCTGGGAGAAATCTGTCATGTCATACATCCGTAAACTGCATTCTAATTAGCACAAAGCACTAGCTTTTGGTGGAATATTAAATATAAGTGCTAGTACTATTTTTATTTCCTTGTGAAATAATAGACTTGGCTTATTTGGGGACTGATGAAAACAGGTTTTCTTGCCTGTAGGAAGCAATGCTATTCAAAACAACTGAAGATACATTCATCATGCCATGCAGCTACAATTTTTAAGATTGAGATCATGTAAATGTTCAAAGAATTCTGTATTACCAATTGTCTTCATCCTTTTTGTCTATAGAAAGTGGCTTAAAATAGCTCTCTTCAGAAAGTATTGCACAAAGCAGATGAAAGTTTAAAACCACCTCTTCAAATCTGCATAATAAATCACCTTGACTTCATTTTAAATTTAGTGAATGAAGAAAAATAATCTGGACTGAAAAGTTTCACAGACAAAAATACTAAAAAAGCCCCTGCTGACAGAATTACTGCAATAATTTTCTATTATCTATTAAAATCAAGCAGAGTTAACAGTAGGGCCAGAAATTTTATAATAAAATAAATTTTAAAAATAGGGAAATTCTCCTTTAAAAATTAGCATGTAATAGTATATTTGTACCATTCATGCATGGAAAAATGACTATATTATTTCAGGTTAATGTTTATTTCCCATTTCCTATCTTGTGAATGATTCTGTCTTTTAGATGTAAGCTTAAGGCTGACTGACATACCCCGGCCACTATTCACAATCAAACTGCAGGTTGGTGTTGCATTGAAAAGTAAGAGAGAATCTATGCAAGCATATTCAATCTACAAAGTATTACTGATAATGCATATTCAGAGGCATTATCCATTTCTACAGATAAAACATGGATAAAACTCATCCAAGTAAGATGCTTTGAGGACCTGGACACTCCTCACATGTTGAACCAGTGAGCACACTGCAGTGTGGGTCTCAGGGTACTTACCATCCTCTGTGGGCACATAGATATTCAAATACAGACAGTCTTCGTTTTGATCTTGAACATATGTCACCACAGTATCCAGATTGGCTGTAAACCAGACCGGCAGCATATCGTTGAGCAGTGACCTCTCATCCAGGTACTGCGGGCAGACAGCGGCAAACTGTGTGGCGTTACGGACACCCGTCCAAGATGACGGTGGCTCCGGGGGCTGAAATCGCCTTTCTCCAGTCGGAGGAGAAGCATAAGGAACACCCAAGTACTGCTCCACTGGACCAAGGATCTCATTAGGCAAAGGTGTTCTTAAACCACGTATTTTGCCATAATTCGTAGTAACAACTGGGTATTGTGCTTGGCCATCAATGAGAGTAAATCTTATAGCCAGTGCAGTTATCCACAGGAGGAAGTTAGAATTCAACATGACACACACTGGTGTGAAGATCAAAGGCAGCCATAGGAGTCCCATTGGTTTCGACATTATTTAAATCAACATCAGCAGGGCTCTTTTTTCCACAGCCAGGAGAAATTATTCAGTCAAGGAAAATGAAAACTAATGAAAAAGTAGTCAAAAGGAGATGAAGTGAGGGAAAATGTATCTTTGTTCAGGAAACAAAAAAACAAAAGTTGATGTGTGGTAGGTGCCTCAGCTGACTGGCTGTAGACAAATCCCAATGTCAGAAGAAACAAGGGAGTGTTTGCCCCTAAGGCCCATCCCAGATTTCAGTGTTGAATTAATCCTGCAAACACACAGCACTTCCTGACAAGTAGAGCGGTGAGAGATCCACAGTTATTCCACTGTCCCAGTGAAGTGGCTCCTTTCAGTGAAGTCCAGCCCACTCAGTCAGCCTGCAGCCAAGAGAAAACAAACAATTCAAATCAACAGACAAATTTATGTTGGCATAAACCTTAAACAAAAACAAACAAACAAACAAACAAAAAGCGCCAAAAATTATATTCGCATACTGCTTCCATGCTAAAGCCCACAGATGTTTTATGAACTTTAGACATCATGGTTAGCTATGTGTTTCCAAAGATATGTAAGTTAAGAGAGCTAAACTTGAAGCCATAAGATTATTCCACAAAACAAACATTTCTCCTTCTCTATATTCTTCCAAACCAAACCACAGCCAAAAAACTTCTGATTTCAGGAAGAATATCACATTCAAGTGCTAGCTTGAGGATATTTTCTGCCCTAAATAAACAGAATCTTCTTTTTAAGCCTATTCGTACTCCCACAGGAACCATTCATTACTTTTGTTTTCTGTATTGGATCATCTCTTTTGCTATGAGTTGACAACTACAGAATATTTTTCACAGACATGACTTCTTTTCTGTGTGTCAACCTAATTTACCTCCATCTAATTCAGAAATTTCAACTGATGCAATAAATAATTAGTTCAAACCAAGTGTGAGAATAATCAAAATGAGATACAAATTTATTGATTTTCATTTTTTTTTCTATGTCTGACAGAACAATGGAAAGCTAAAAGAAAAAAAAAAACATGCTACAATCTCTTAAGTCAGATTTTGGCCGACATAGTGCTACAATTATGCCACATTATCTGCATTCTCTTACTTTTATTTTTAAATAGAAGGCAATTTATACAATAATTCTGAATTTTTTTAATTAAATGCACATCACCTACATGTATATGCTAACCATTACAAGTGTACAAATAAACACACATCAACATTCTACCTGCCCAAAGAAATTAGGGACTTCCTTTCTACGCATTACTCAACTTGGAAGCACAAACAATTCCACAGGTAAAACAATTCCACAGGTAAAAAATTCCTTGTTATAGGAAACTGATACTGATACCTTATATTTGGTAGGACAAACACACATGTATATATCAAAATTATATATAAGTGGATGAGCAGGTCCTGTTTTCAGTCAGGACTCAGACATGGAAACTAATTTGAACAGCATTTTATTCTTACAAAACTCCTGGAATTCTTTGATTATTTCATTTTAGCATTCTTACCACAAAACTGTTGAAACACCAGAACACCAGAGGCCAGACAAACACCAGATATTTATTATGTATGATGGAGTGAAATTTCTACTGACATTTTCTCTTAGGACTTGCAATTTGAGCATTTCTGAAGGACAAATCATTACAGCTCTAATTTTTATGTCCCCAAGGGCACCACTAGGGCTGTCAGTCCCTGAGTTATGCAGCAGGAAGCCCTATCTGCAGGAAGCCCTATGCCCAGCCCCAGGCCCAGCCTGGATCTTGGCCTCACTGGGTCCCCAGGTAGACCTTGGACCTTGGACCAGGTAGACCTTAGACCTCAACCTGCCTGGCCTTACAATTATTAGGTGGTAGCAGAGTCCTGTCCCCATTCTCAGCCCACCCCCAATGGGGAGTCTTAGAAGTTCAGAGTCTTGCCCTGCCAGCTGTGCAGTGCCTACAGCTCCTCAACCTCGCCCATGGACAGCCCCACTTCAGCTGCTCCCTGGCACTCAGAGTGGTCAGCCAGCAATGGGTCTCAAAATTCCTCCTCAAGCATCACTTTCCCTTCGGATTTTTGCTACCATCTTTAAGAATGGAAATCAACAGCAGGTGGTTGATTTTGAGTAGCATTCCTCTTGCTCTGTCCCATCCTGATTTTGGCACACTTTACTGATCATGCAGCACAAATCAGATTTTCCAGTTATATCCAGCTGAGGATTTAATCTGTGTTTAGGGAGGAGCAACACATCTTATTCTCTTGACACCACTCTGCAGAAGTTTGTAAGGACATTCTAAGAAATGTGGAATGCAGCACTAAGAAAATTGACAAGATGGAAGGAAACACAGTGATCCAGATGATGAAAGATGGATAGAGAAAAAAAAAATTCTGGGCAAACAGCAAGCAAAAAAGAAGGAAACAAAATAAGAAAAGAAAACAGGAATGATAAATAAACAAGAGTGAACACAATTCCAGCAGGGAAAGAACCAAAAATGACAACATGAAGGAAATCCTCAGCTGATACAGCAGAGAGAATACGCAATTGTAAAAAAATGTGATGTACTAAATAGTATGGCTTTCTTGGCCATCTGGATACATGCTGGCTCACATCCAGCCAGCTTTCAAACACCACCCCCAAGTCCCCTTCAGCTGAGCAGTTCTCAAGACACTGTTCCCCAAGCCTGGAGCATTGCACAGGGTTTTTGCAACCCAACTGCAGGACCTGACCCTTGGCCTTATCGATCCTCAGAGAACTGGTCTCAGTCAATCCAGCCTGTCAAGTTCCTTTTCCAGAGCCTTCCTATGCTCCAGCAGATCAATAGTCCCATCCAATTTAGTGTCATCTGTGAACTTACTGAGGATGCATGCAATCCCCTCATCCAAATCATCAATAGAGACATTAAACGGGCCCCAATACTGAGCCCTAGAGAACACCACAGCTGACCAGCTGCCAACTGGATTTAACTCCATTCAGCACCACTATCTGGGCCTGACTATCCTGCCAGTTTTTCACCCAGCAAATATTGCACACATCCAAGCCATGAACAGTCAGTTTCCTCAGAAGGATGCTGTGGTAGACAGTATCCAGTGCTTTACTGAAGTCTGGATAAACAAAATCCACAGCTTTTCCCTCATCCACCAGCCAGGTTACTTTATAACAGAGATCAAGTTAGTCAAACAGGATCTGCCTTTCGTAAACCCATTTGTGAGTATCATCTGGGTCTGATTCACTGGCTGATCTGCACGCAGCACATGATGGCACTCAGGATGATCTGTTCCATGACTTTCCCCAGTATCAAGGTCAGGCTGACAGGCCTGTAGTTCCCTGGGTCATCCTTCTGACCCAGGTTGTGGACGGGCATTACATTTCCTAATTTTCCATCAACCTGACCTTCTCCAGTTAAGCAGGACTGCTGGTAAGTGGTTTAAAGAGGTCTGACAAACTCTTTCACCAGCTTCCTCAGGTGTATCCCATCTGAGCTCATACACTTGTGTGTTCTAATTTGATGTAATTAGCAGGTCACTAACCATTTCCTCCTGGATTAAAGGGGCTTTACTCAGCTCTCCATACTTCCCCAGCTTCCAGCTCTGGGAGCTGTGCATCCTGAGGACAACTGGTTTTGCTATTATACTGAGGCAAAGACCCCGACTGAGGCAAGGAAAGCAAAAATATCTTGTTTAGGCAAGAAAATTAGGCAGATAATATCACAATTAGGCAGAAAATATCACACCTTTCAGTTTATTGACATTACTAGAGGAATTACCATTTTCCTAAGGTTAGTTTCACGTGTGAAATGTATACACACTCATACAGACAGAGAAAATAATTTTCAGTAATATTGAGAGGTAAGGAAGAAGGCATGCTGCCTTCTTCATTTGTGAACTGTGATGACTATGATATGATGTTAGATACATCATTGAAAATGTTGAAAGATGTAAATAGAGAGTCACAGATTTCAATTAGGGACTAATCATAAATAGAAAGCTGTAAACATTCTAGAAACGTTTTTAGATATATCAAAACTAGTCTGATGCTCAATTGCATGTATACAGTCAGCTATTTCATATGCCTTTACATACTGAGTCTACAGGAAGACATGTACTTGTCTTACCTTTATTTATTATCACTAATTGTGTTGTATTTTTCCATATTTTTATTTACTGCTTCAAATGTTAGAAAATTGCATACAAACTGCTTGCAAAAAATTCTTAGTTGGAGGTATCACTCACCCAAACAATCAAAAATAATCAATCCAAGTCAAAATATTCAGTTCAAAACAACAACTTCTGGCAGCACACCACACAGAGAAGTCAAGGAAGATCTGAAATCAGATACGATCACATACGATGATTTTGTTATTGGCAGAGGAGTGTAATTTGAGGCTAATGAGACATTTATGGCCTTTGAAGAAAATGCAGATTGAAGTTAACATGGATGTGTGTCTGGAAATACCACTTGCTCTTGTTTATAAATCTGTGCCCCAAGACACTCTTAGAGATGCTTAAATAGTCTATGAATCAGGCCCTCAGGGCCAAACTGATGGTTCCCAGGAACTCCAGTCACCACTTTTTCAACCTGAGAAGACTGTCAGTAGCTCAACACTCATTCTGTAGCTGCTAGGGAAATAGAAGACATGGCTTAGAAGTCATCTTTGCTCCAATGTAAAATAGAAAACTAAAATGACTCCAAGTTTTTTTGATCCTCTTGTCCAGATCATGACCAGTTACAAGAAAACAAAGCAGAAATATGAGTTATATGAATACAGGAAACTGAAGACTCCACAGATATCCTAGGGTTTCTCAGGCTTTATCTAATACAACTAGTGTAGAACAGTACACCTCAGCTTTCAGTCACTGACCACTTTTATTCTCTCCCTTCTGCTCATATTCCCAGGGGGGTTTTTGGGCATGTACACAGGTCTGACCTCAATAGACAGTCAGGGTTAAAGACTCACATCCCTTTCATTAGACAGACATTCTGAAAGCATACAGTGAGCTTGATTAGCTGAAATGAAAGAG